ATATGGGCTTGTCAATCACTATTACTTGAAAATTGAGTAATTGTGATCATTGTGTCAAAACATATATAAATCCGTCTCTGTTAGAGGAACAAATCCATTTTCTGCTGATCATATCCATCTTTAATGCATAAATCTTGGTCCCTACTTTGGCTTTCAGGTTAAAGTTGATCCAAGTTAGATACTACGTTTCATCTCGACTACTAAAAGAGTTCTCTGCAGCTTTGTCAAGGGATGAAACTCGCAGAGGACGCGAGTTTGATTGTGGAGGAGATGAATGTTGATTATGATGACATGGAGGGAAAAAAGTTAGATGTATTTGATAATCCATTTATCAGAAATGTAGGGTCTTCATCGGTTGGGAGGCAGCCGTCCGAACAAGGGACCTTTATATTCCCACAATTGTATGATACTGTCCGCTTTTGGCATAACCCTCACAGCTTTACTTTTGGTTTCACCCAAAAGGTCTTATACTAATGGAGGTTGTCCCTACATATATACTCATGATCTTCTTCTCCCCTAACCAATGTGAAACTTTGTTTGTACTCCTTGCAAACCTAACATCATCTTCTCACCTCTTCGACGTTCCTTATCGGTCGGGTGGGTTTAACTCAAAGGTATTTCCATATTTTATTTCTTCACTCATCACAAGCAAACTAACAACTATACTCCAAATCTTCATAAAGAAAATGTACTACATTCAAAATCTAGCTTTTTGCGACTTCCTGAATTTCCCTGTTAAGTTAGAATCTATTGGCTTAACTGGGGAAGGAACATCCTAAACACCATGAAAGTTGATACGATATGAAGCACGCGAAATCAGAAAGGATTCCTTTCGGTTTCACATGGAAATCATAGAATTCACAACAGAAAGATTAACAAAGTAAAGTTATGCCTTTTCCCATGCTCCTAATAATTACAGTTATAATTTTATGCACAGTAAAGTAAACACAATAATAATGGGGTCAGATTTACTTTACCTTTTCCAGTGGATCACAATCTGTCTTTACTATTGAACTGCAGAAAAATGTTTTTTAGTGAAACATATTAGTTGAAGAGAAGATCAGTTTAGGAAGTGGCTTTGGTTCCATCAAGGGTTCTTTTGGAAGAGAAGATCTTTCCAAGAGGCAAATTGAGTGGGGTCTCAAAAGATTCTGCAGAAAGACAAGAAGATTTCAGTGGCACTCAAGACAGCAATTCTGGATACCATTCATTTAATGGATCTACAAGATCAAACCATTCATCATCTGCCTCACAAGTTGCCACCTCTGACAGCCAAGTCGAAAATCAAGGAGAAGAGTCGGATCAAGTTTCGGTTGTTGGAGTATCTGCTCTACATAATTCTGGTTAATCTAAAGATTTTGTAGTCGCCGCTGAAGTTACGATCGAGTTGCTTCGGGCAGAAGTGGATATGTGGAAACAAAATTCTCTCCGACTTACGGCGGAGTTGGATAAACTTCGGAATGAACTTCTAGTGGAGACAAAGCACCGGGCAAGCCTTCAAGTGGAGCTTTTGGAGATACACACACAGTTCACTGGATTGCAGCAGGAACTTGATAAACTGAGGATTCTAATGGAGGGGACAAGGGAAAAACAAGAGGCCAAAGAGAACATTCTTTTTCAAATGAAGGATGAAGATGGCATAACGAAGGAATGGGAAAGAGAAATGAAGTTTCAAAAGGAATTAAATGGTAATTTGGCTTTGCAGCTAAAGAGAAGTCAGGAGGCCAACCTTGAACTTGTTTCTGTCCTACACGAAATGGAGAATACAATGGAAAAGCAGCAGATGGAGATAAATAACCTTTCAGAAGACAAGGTGGATATTGAAGATATGGATACCTATAGCATCAGCAGTGAAGATAACAAGAGAAGAAGCTCGGAGGATCAAGATTTTCGTAAGGATGTAAGAATGCGCGGTTCGTGCATTGAAGAAAATGTTGTTCAATTACGTGAAGAGCTTGAAGCAAATGGAACTAAAGCCTTGAAGCTCCAGTTGCATCCATTGCCAGAATTTCGAAAAGAGCAAGAACAGAATATTCCAGTTTCTAGGAAGGAGAAGAAAATTCATGGATCCAAGATAGGAGGAATGCCGAATCCCAGAGTGGGAACTCCTCCAGAAGCTCAGACTAAGCTGGAGAATGGTGATTTATATGAAGATACCTTATCTACAGGTACTGCAGAAGCCGAAAGGCTGGGTACAGAGTTCAGTTTGGCGCTGAATGCTGCTATTGACAGTCTAAGGCATGAGAATATGCTGAAGGACATGGAGATTGAAGGCTTGAAACATTGTAAAAAGGAGTTGGAAACTCAGATTATAAGTATTGAGGAAGAGAAAAGTCAGATGGAGGCGAATGTGACTGGTTTGCTCGGAACTAGCAGTATGGATCCTCGGGTTTTAGCCAATAATATTATTTCCAAGACATCATTGAAGTCAAAAAATGAAAATGATGAACTAGAAGCGCATTTGTTGGAACTAGAAAATGAAAATATTTGCTTATCAGAAAGAATATGTGGCTTGGAGGCTGTTCTGAGGCACCTAACCGATGAAAATGAGTCGACTCGTTTGCTGTTACAAGATTCACAATCTACTGTTGGGAAACTCCAGAATAAAGTAAGTGAATTGGAAAATGAAATAATGGCACAAAAACTTGATTTGACAGAGAAGTTAGAGGATAGACAGAAACAATGTATTGAAGCTCTCGAAGAGGGTCAGAATTTGAAAATAGAAAACAAGAAATTGCAGGCTATGATTGAAAGTATAATGGAGGAAAATTCTTTACTGCAGATATCAAATAGTGAGCTGAGGAAGCGAAAGATGGATTTACAGGAGCATTGTGCAATCTTAGAAGTTGAAGTGAAGGATACACTCGAGCTTTTTTCAGGTATCTTAAAGGAAGTAGAAAGTCTAGAAGCGAGTTTTTGTAGGATGCTGAAAGAAATTAGTTTGAAAGAGAAATCCATGACTGGAGAACTTGATGCTCTGGTTCGAGAAATTCAAAAGCATAATGCAAACCTCGCTAGGGATGATAGCCTGTTGAATCAGATGTACCTGGAGAAAACAGCTGAAGTAGACAATCTCGAAAGAAAAGTTGTACACCTCATGAAACAAATGTCTGCAACTTTTGATGAAAAAGAGAGAGAGGCTTCACAGGCTATACTTGAACTATGTTGTTTAAGAGAAGATAAGGTGATGTTAGAAGCTGCTCTACAAGAGGCTCAAGGAAAACTTAGGCTATGTGAGAGCAAGATTGATCTCATCCACAGGGAATCAGAAAGAAAAGTTATGGGAGTTATAGGTGAACTAGCAGTTTCCAAGCAAAACCAGGACATTCTTATGGATTGTCACAGAAAGGTGCTAAGTTCCCAAGAAAATGTCAAAAACAGTGAATTGAAATTGAAGAACATGCTTCGGCGGCATGAATTAAAGTTGAAAGCATCTGAAAGTGACAGGCAAAATCTAGCTGAGGAAGTTTCTGCTCTTAAGATAAAATTGCGAAAGATGGAAGAGCTCCAAGACGAAGTTTTAGTGCTCAAGAAATCACTTGTCGAAGCAGAACATCAAAATAAGTGTCTCAAAGCTTCCTTTGAGATGTTGTCTGAAGATTATGAGAAGCTGAAGGCCAAAAGCGTGACATATTTGGAGGAAATATCTAATATACAGATGGTAGCATCTGAATTAGGGGACTACAAGCGGTGTAAAGCCGCCCTTGAGGAAAAGGTTTGGCGGCTTGAGTGGGAGTTAACTGCAAAAGAAGCATCTTGTACCTTGCTATCTAAGATGAAAAACGAACTTGCACGGTTAACAAGAACAAATAGCCAGTTAAAGGGCAAAATAAAGTACCTGGAGGAGGAGAAAGAAGAGTGTTTCAAGAGAGTTCAAGTGCTTGAAGAGAAGCTAAAACAGCACAAAGAAGAAAAGCATAATGAAGAGGCAATCAATGGGAAACTTCCTCATGATCCAGAGCTCTATGACACTTGTGGTTCAACCTTTGATAATACACAGAGCTTAAAGGTATCTATCAGCACCTTCCATTCATATTAGTGTGCCTTAAAAAAAAACAAAGTAGTTGAACAAATCTGATCTTTGATACCTGTCTCTTATATTGTTTCAGGATGATGCTAAAACAACTCTCTGTTTCAATGAAAGTTCCCAAGTCAAAATACTTGATCCCTTATTGAAGATTCAGTTTATTGGGAATAAATTGGCTGAAGCATCAAGTCGCTCTCACAAAAACTTGATCAAGGGGTAGATTATAGAAGGTGTGTCTTCTTGTTCTGGCTTCTATCTCTCTCACACACCTAATTTACCCGCTTGAGACAATAATTTTATTTTATTTTATTTCTTTAAAAGAAACTATCAATGAATTAGAGACAAAAAAGAAGCAGACAACCCACGAGCCGGGGTTAGAGAGAACCCCTGCCCAAAAGACTACAAAATCAACACAATATCTTCCAATCCTTAATAATTATAAGGAGACTCAAAAGAATTTTTAGTGGTTTAAGCACCACCAAGAGGTCGTATGTTGTACACTATTACACAAAAAAATCCACCAAATCATCTCGTCTTAAAAAATAAAAAGCAACAGACCGAGGGAGAAAACCCCCAAAGGGGAAATCTCCTCTGTGGTTTATCAGCAGTATTAGAACTTCTACAAAGAAGGGACCAAATGAGCCAAGCATCAGGAATGTGAATCAACTAAAAGTTTGAGCTATATATCCCCATTTTTCCTTTGGAGAACTACTCTTTACATTTTCCCTAAAAGAGCTAGGAATAAAACAATACACAAAAAGGATAAAAACAGAGGGAGTACTTACTGACATAGAAATGGAGGAGACGAGCCTGATACTAACAAATAAACATGAAGAAAGGAGACAAGGAATGTCCTTAAAGGAATTGTCTTCCTCGCAAGACCTAGTTCTCAATACAATATCTGGCCAAATTTACACGTTACAGGTTGTGTTATATAGCATTAGCTGTAAAACGATACAAGTAAAATAACAGTTGTTAAAGTAATATCCTTATCGCTTAAAACTCATTTATGCATCATGTTCAAACACATAATGTGATAAAATAGAAGATTTTTAAATTCAATTTTGGTATCTAAACATTCGTGTTAGTTCCATTTGGAGCTTTTAACTTAAAAAAATGTTTATACTAGTCCCTCAAACTTAAAAAAATAACTAGTTTGATCCTTGTTATTATTTTGTCACCTAACATCCATTCGTCATCTTAGCGTGCTCGTGTTGAGATATCCATAAATAAATTAAATTTACCCAACCTATTAGCTTAAACTTTTGAGCTAAACTTTTGGGTTGAGTGGTGATTTAATTATCCTTAATATGTATCAAAGCCGGAGGTCCTATGTTCAAACCCCTTCATTGTTATTTTCTCCCAATTTATTATGATTTCCACTTGTTAGGTTTTGTTGCAATTTTCCAAATCCACTAGTGAGGGGGGAGTGTTGAGCTATCCATAAATAAATTAAATTTACGGTTCTAACACATGCTCAGTCAGTATGTGCTATGTTAACCGACATACTCGAATCCATGTTACCAATTTGCTTTTAAGACAAGGAGGGCTAAGATGATTGATTGTTTAAATGTTTAGAAATTGAAATAGACCTTAGGAAAGTTTAAGGATTAAAACGATTAAAATCAAATAATTTAAAAAGTTCAAAGATGGGAATAAGTTTTTTTCAGTATTGCCAACGTCTATTCTTTCGTTTGTTTTTCATTTTTGTTTCAAGGGATGGAAGTGAAAATTTAAACCTAAATAGAAGTAGAACTATCACCTTCTTCCTCCGGCTCCCCTCATCCCATCGGCTGCAGCAAATACAAAATCTACATTGGCTTTCTTCTTCCCCGCAATTACACGACAGTTTGATGAATGATGAACTATAGAGTGCAATATCAGTAGAGCCCCCCAACGAGAAACTCATGGCGATGCGCCGGAACTACCTTACACCAGAAATCGACCATTGAATTAGAGGCCTCGCCGAACTGCCGATAATCTGAGCAAGAAATTTGATATTTCTCGTAGAAGAAAGGGGCGATAAAATTAGGCTTCATACAAGCTAACGAAACGGCTGATAACTGATAAGGCCATGAATTACCTTTGTTTTTGCAGTTCAGCAATTACAGATGCGATCCAATCCAATCATCGACCTTCATGGTAAGCTACCTTCAGATTCACTCATCTTCCTACGTCATCGATTGATCATAATGCAATCAATCACTCAGATCATTACAAGTTTGGAAGGAGGGATTGGCAGAAAACAAACGAGAATGTAGTTATAAATGTATCCTTTTGTAATTCTTTTGCTGAAGAAAATATATATACCGTGTGTTTAATAGATCCGTGATATATTAAAAAAAAAAAAAAAAACTTTAAATCTGTTAGAATTTTTTTTTAAATTCTGACACAAAATTGAAATTTTCAGCTTTTTAAAGTTGAAGGATTTGTTATACATAAACATGAAAGTTTCGAGAATTAAATTAGTAATTTAACTATATACAATTATAATGGTAGAGATTGGAATTTGATCCTGTGGAGAAGACTATGAAGGTCTTTTTTTTCTTTTTTTCCTTTTTTTTTTACTGATATTCACATAGGCCAATTTACGCGCACCTCAATAATAAAATAGACAATCTATCTAATTTATTTTTCCATTTTATTGAACCCTACAATTTAGCTAGAGTCTAGTTGGTATGTTTAATAAACATAAAGGCAACACACATAAATAAAGTCAATCTAAACCTAATTTAATTAGTTAAGATATATTTTGATCATAAGCCAGAAGTTCAATTTGAATCTCAACCCCACGTGTTGTTGAACTAAAAAAATCTTATAACATTTAAATGAGAAAGTAGAAATTAACAGATAGTTGGAATACATTACAAATCCCAATCAATTTCAATTTATTGAAAATAAAATTAATCATACACCAAATATAATATACCACCATCTTTTATAAACAATAATATCATTCAAGCAATAAATCCAAATTATTCTTAAGTAGTAGTTCAAGACTTCAAATAACATACATTAACTATACTTGCGGTAAAATACCTCAAGGAAATTTACATGTACTCACTCAACCTGCTAAAAACAAAAATTTTATTAATTGACTACTATTGAAGAATCTGTCTTGGCTGGGAAAACAAGAGCATAAATAGCCTAAAAGAGTGGTCCTAGAATCCTAGTACACAGATTCTTGCAGCCTCTCGAGTCCTACGCGAGCGTCGAAGGAAACAGAAGACTTCGAAAATCGAAAATCGAAAATCGAACATCAGGGTGAAGTTCTTAGATTCACGTTTCAGATCTTACCTGTTCCAAGAGGTTGCCTTGATGTATCACCAGAGGCCCATGCTTGATAATCCTTCACGAGCTGCATAGCATGATCATGTCAGTCAAGGATTTATCATATAGAAGAGAAGAGATCAATAAAATGGATAAGAGAAAGCTGAAGTGTCTCTATGCGGGTGAGATCGATCGTGTGTTTATTTCGTATGGTTCTTTTTCCTGGACCCGAGGAGAGGGAATTGAAAGCCTTACATGCAACATACCAATTATAAAGGTGCTAAAAAGATCCCTTAGAAATGTGATGAAATGAAGTAATTAGCACGAATTCTCATGATGTAATGTTTTAGCACATTGAAAGGGCCAAGGTGTACAATCAATGGCCAGAGATATCAGAAGTGATCGTCCCGTGAAATCCCAACATGGTTTACATGCAATCACAGTAAGATGGCGCAAAGGCCTCTGTTTTGGAGGAATCTTTTCATTTGATGTACGAGTGAACTAAAGCAAATAATAACCTAATAGCTCAATTGGTTAGAACATATATAATCGACCAAAAGGTCAAAGGGTCAAATCTCCTCCCTCACTTTTCGTTGAACTGAAAAAAACTAAAATGGATAATGCCCTAAAAACATTAAATTTTGGGTTTGGACTTCAGTTAGAATGTAGTTTTCTCTTCACATTGCATATGCTAGTGATGTAAAAGATGAGTTTAAAAACCATATATTGTAGATTTTTCCTTTTAGTTTTCCAACTTCATGAAGATTACAAACAAAGCAATTTACAAAGAGGACTTGAAGATGTAGATAGGTCTGAAACTTTGAGAAGAGAGCAGGTTATAGGATCAAGCAAACGCGAAATACAGCAATTAGAAGCAAAAGTTTCATTATTGCACACAAAATGTTTACTAACCTGGGTTGTGAAGCGAGGAAGCATGATCTTCAATATTTGTTCGAGGACTTGGGTCCCAGCTGATTCGATTGCTTGTACGGGAATTGCACGGAAGGCGAAAGGAATCTCGATGTTAACCTGGATTTTCCATAATAAGGCAATTATTATTAGTGTTTCTTTTCAGAACAGCAAGCATATTTTCTAGTGATGATGCTGTTGTATAACATTGCTGCTACCTCAATGACAGTATCTGACGTGAGTTTCTGCAAGGGTGAGTTGCCTCGATTGACATCATAAGAAATCTGGTTCACCATATAAGCTGCATTCCGACACCAAATCAATGTCAAAGCAGTCCTGAAAAAAGCATGAACCAAAATCTCAACATGATGAATGGCTGCTCTTCCAGAAAAACAACTTAGAAAGAATGGAGAGCAGCAATACTAGAAGAATGCAATCTATTGCCCAAAAACAAAAGCGCCATTGAGTAGTTCCTGCTTTCCTATGCTTCGTGCTAATTTCTGGAATAGGCTGAGAAAAAAGTCACGCTCCATTTATGACATATTCAGGAGTGATAGCCAAAATCACTTTTACCATTTCTTAAGTAACTGATGTGTCATTGCAAAACATTGTTATTTCAAATGTTAGTAATTTTGACAATAATAAAGGTGATTTTTGGTCTTGCTAAAACCACCTCCAAGTATGCCCCTAATATTTTAGGATGATATACAGATAATTTTAGAAAATGGAAAGTGATTTTGGCTACTACCAAACAAGGCATTAGTCATTCAGGCAAGGCAAGTTGCAATATTAGACTAGTTCAGAAATCCCCGCAAAAAGAGGGAAAAGTTCTTTATGCAGAAGTAGGGTGGATCGAGCCATGCCGCCAAAAGATGGATATTCAAACCAAGAAATGACAACAAAATCTTCATACAAGTTACAACATATCTGATGAAATTACTAACGAATTCTCTATTAATATTTAATCACTGATTATTATATGTTATGACATTGGGAAAGCGAGGCCAGAGCAATGAACCATAAGCTTTGGAATTGTCACTTCAAATTTCACGTCATCCACATTTCACAACAAAGAGAAACCGTAGCAATTGAAAAGGCAGAAAGCAAAAGGAAAAAAATCCCAAAAATCCTTTCAGTTGAAATGTTCAATGTTTCTACTCACTAGTCACTAGTTATGCATAATTGAGATTCTCACCGTCAAATTTGTCATTCTGTGCAGCCACAATCGGTGAGCCCTCAAGCTGTCGGCATTTAAACGAATCAAAAAGAAGAACAGATTAAGACAAATATGAAGTGAAATGTTCACAAAACAAGAGAGATGAAAAAGAAACGCAAATTCATCCAAACCTTGCATGACAGCAGCTTGATGCAACACCCATTGGGCTGCTCTTCAACTCGAACAATCAAAACAGGGCAAACCTCAAACGCAAAGAACTTAAATCTATAAACGTAGCACCTAAAGGTGCAATCGTCAACCCGCTCGATCCTCTCTGCATCCAACACCGAGTACTGACTAGCCGGCAAGCTCATATACTCATCTGCACCACCAAACACGAAATCCCTCGATTTCCATAACTAAAACCCAAAATAAACCTAAAAGCAAACAGTCTTCAAATCCAAAACGCTTCTAAAATTACTTAGAGGCCGCGCCAGCTGCCGAACGGTGGCGGATTCGCTTCTCCGGGCAATGAAGCGCGCTTTTGGATTCGAATTGGCGGAGGTGCGAAGCAACGGCCTGGAAGAATCGTCCGCAGAAGAAGCGAGAACATATGGTCTGTGCGCAAACTTTCTAGGGTTTTTGTAGGGGAGTGGAATGGAACCTGGCGAGCAGGAACTCAACGCCATTAAAGTGTTCGACGTTTTTCCTGAGAGTAATTTCTAATGGATAGCAACCAGAGACCTGCGGGAGAGACGGATAAGACAATGGCCACTGCCCACTGCCACTGGCGCAGCGATTTTCGAAGTGTTGCATTGGGAAGTGAAAAAAAACAAAAAACAATTTTTAACCCTTTATCAATAATTTTTTAATAATTTTTATCTATCTAGAATTAGGACGGGCAGAAAAAATATCTTTATGTATTTCAAAATACCTCACCTCCTTTTTAAATTTTAAATATAGTACAAATTTTCACGATAGTAGTATATCCACACTCATATTTTTTAGAATAATTGGATTTAATAGAAAACTAAGAGCTATGAGTAGGCTTGTTGTTACAAAAGATCCCTCCTAACTTCCATTACAATCCAGTTTGAGAAATCAGACACCCATGACCCCAAAGCTTCATAATGAAAAGCAGCATAAGCAATCTTATGGGTAGGTTTGTTGAACTCTCTTCCAACATGAAGAAAGGAGATTTGGTCTTTAAATTGCCAATATCTCTCACCCAAATGCTCGATTCGAGATGAATGTTATTGTTAGAGTTGATGGATTCGACGACCGTGAGACAATCGGACTCCACCAAGATATCCTTGAAGCCTCGACGACTCGCAAGCCACATGCACTCTCGGATGACCGACAATTATGTACATACACTCGTATTATTAATATATTAGATGTATATCACGTACATATTACAAATATATCATACATTCATATCAATGTATCATATCTATATCACATACATATACCAATAGTCATATATATTACAAATATATATCAACTAGGATAAAATTGTTATTTTATAATTAGACTTCCGTTTTTAGTGCTATATTAAAAAAAACTAAATGTAAATATTTTTTACAAATTTACAACTGTCCAAAAACAATATACAAAATTCTAGAAGTGATTTGATGAAATCAAGTTGGGACATAAAATTAAATTTAATTAATACAGTTAATACATATAATTGACTATTAAATAATTATGTAACACTTACATAATGATTAGACACGTGATTATAAGGTAAAATTGCAATATTTTTATTTGAAAACATTGCAATGCTTATGAAAGTTAAGTGCAATAACGTGGGGGTAAAAACTATCCAACAAACTTGTAAAGTTTTAAGCTAAATTTAATATTTGTGTTTTCTTTTCTTTTTCAGCAGTACTGTGAATTTTCAGAATATCTATTTTAACCAATAAATAAATTTCTTGTTTCATAATCAATTTTTTGTTTAGTACAACATATATGAGTGAGATATCGAACTCACAACTATATAGGTCAATTATCACTGAATTGCTCGCTTTGGCAGTCCCTCGACTTAAGAATTATTAATAAAACAGTATGTATACATACTACAATAGTGATTGCATACTACAATAGTGTAAATCAGCCCTCTTATACAAATTAATACCAAAATATATAACGTGATATCAATATATTTCGACGTGTTTCATCTATAAATTTATGAATTTTGTCACTAATTAAGAGATTTAAACTGATGTCAAATAAAAAAAATAGAGATTTAAACAAATCACAATGGTGGATTAAAATATTTAAATTAAAATCAAACACTAATTATAAAGACTGAACTATATTACAATGTGACGTGATTATAATTTAACATATAAATATGCATCATGCATGCAAACGTGACACAACGATACGTTACATATATATATATTTTCTATTCTACAATTCTATTTTATATGCGGCCACACCACTCGCAACTTCCGACGGAAGCCGACGACGGCGCCGCCGTGCTTATTCGTAATTTTTCTTCAACCAGACGCCGAATGCAACGGACTACTATAACTGGTAATCTATGGACCCATCCCTGTGTACGAATTTTCATTTTCTATTGCCAGTTTTCATGGCGAAATCTCGTTCCATCCTCCGCTTCCGGATCCGTAGCCCGAACCATAGCCAGAGCCACTCCCGGAGCCGGAGGAACCTCCGCCACCGCCTCCTCCACCGCCTCCACCACCGCCGCCTCCTCTGCCGCTCCCGCTTCCATATCCGCCTCCACTGCCGTATCCCGAGCCATAGCCTGATCCGTTTCCGGAGCCTCCTCCGCCTCCTCCTCCCCTGCCGCCACCTCCTCCACCGCCGCCGCCTCTTCCACCGCCAGAACCAAACCCTGAGCCGCTTCCAGATCCGAATCCGGATCCGGACCCTATTCCACCCCCACCTCCACCACCACTTCCTCCTCCTCCTCCGCCGCCGCCTCCTCTCCCGTACGCCCCGTCGCCTTCTCCCTCACCGTATCCTTCCCCTCCGCCGATCCAAAACCGGAGCCATACCCCGAACCCGGAAATAGTCCTCCTCCACCTCCTCCTCCGCCGCTTCCACCACCGCCTCCACCTCCTCCTCCTCGACCGAACGCTTCCCTCGGCGATCGGGCGGCGAAGGCGAGGTCCACGAGGAACAAAGCCAACAATGTAGCCCCAATCGCCCTGCTGCACGCCATTTTCGGACCTTCAAATTTCAAACCCGAGGTTTTCTAATTGAGATTACAATACTGTGAATTGATATATTCACTTTCAATTTCAGGAACTCAAATGATGATTCGATTCGTCGATGAGGAGATTGGGAACGGGGGATTCCCTTTATATAGGGATTCGAAAAGGTAAGCTTCCGAAAACTTTATCGAAATTCTAATGATAGTTCACACCGTGATTATGATTGAAAAACGTGTCTGTTAGAAGATAATTAGTGGTCACTGGTTACTGGTTTTTGGTGGTGGGGATGCCGGTGGACGGTGGTGCTGTTGCTAGTGACAGTTCTAGTGGCCAACAATGTCCATAGCAAATTATTAATTGACAAAAATGAAAGTAAGAACTGATTTATCTATGCATATAACAAACAATAGAACGTGCTAAGTTTAAAAAGCTCGAGTTCATTAACAGGTCTGAATCTGGATAACTTTCGTCTGAATTGTGTAGAAAAATTAGTTTCAAAAGCCTAGATTCATGTAGATCATATCTGGTTTGTAAATTTGTGATTTATAAAATTTAATCTATCGTTTGAAGGTTGAGTTTCTACATTTATGATAAGATTACGCTGTGTGTAAGCTAAACATGTTTAGAAGTAGTTCTAATTTGTCCTAAGGAAGACATTTGATTTCATGCAATGGCATTGCATAAAGGATGGTGGTAGGTAGATACTCCCAGTCCCACCACTATTGACTTATGAATATTAAAATGAAAAAAGAAGTGAATTATACAATCATAATACTCCCACTTTTGACTTGCAGTGAACCTTAAAAAGAGGCCTTGGGAAGGGGACCAATAAGAAGATGAGGTATCATACTTTTTCTTTACGTTTCATATTTGGATTCTGAACCTCCCTCCCAGTGTATGAATTGTAATGAATGTGCATTATCTAAGTTTCAATTTCATCTTTTTTATTATTAGATGGTAATATTGTTGTTCTGTTTGGCACATAAAAAAAATGCACCACATATAGAAAATATTTGTTAACATTTTATAATGATAAGAACATCGAAAGAAATTTAATCTTGAAAAAATTAAAATTACAAGATCCAAATTAACTTGGAACATCAACTATTAGAAGTTAAATGAAAAAGAAGACACTAAAACCGAGTGATAAACCACACTTTCTTCCAAAAACTGTTTAACTGATCCTCTAAAACTTTTCCCATTCTCTTCACTGTCTTACGCACACACACTTCTACCTAATGTATGTTTTTGGACATCAGGCCAAATTTGGTGCATCTTTTGATGAATGCAATGCCATCTTGCCTTGATAACTTAAAATGGTTTGATGATATATTTTAAAAGGAAACTTCTGATATTGCCTCCAGTTGTAAGGCCTAGCATGGCTTCTGGCCTCTGCTTCGTGCTTCCTAGGCCACAAAATCCCATTGACTCACCTACCCCGTCAAAATCCCACTCAAATTTTGTCTTTCTTCAAATGCAAGCTTGGTGTGACAAATGGCATCATACTCTTTTCCCTCCAGCTTTCTGTAGTGCTCGCCTTCCAGGCTATGCTACCCTGCTTCCATGCTCTCTGCCTTTAATCATAGCAAGGTGCCAATCATGATTCTTACTTACCATGCCCACTCACTCTCTAATTCTTTGACTTCTGGTGTGAAAAATTTGAGGGTAAGATAGCTTTTTCGTTTCTTATTACAACAATTTGGGGATATACTGGATCCTAACCTCTAATTTCAAAGAAAGAAGTTCGTATCAATTACCGGTTAGCTATACTTAGGTTGACGTCTTTTTCATTTTTAATTTTATGTTTCTAAAAATTATATTTGTTTACTTTATCATTTTCACGTTACGTTTTTATATTTTTAAAAAATATATTTATATTTTTAGCTAAATTTCAAAAACAAAACAAAAACTTCTCATTTGTAGTTTTTAAAACTTGGCTTTGATTTTGAAAATATTTTTTAATGAGTAGGTAGCAAAAAACAAAAAAATACACGAGTGAAACTAGTGTTTATCATTCTAAACTTAATATTTTAAAACGAAATAGTTATCAAACTTGACCTATATTTTAGTTTAACTTTATTTATTAGATTTTTTAACCATTTATATCTGGGATTGATTATTGTTAGAACAGGAAAAAAAATACTTTGAGTTGATTAAAATTATTTTTCAAATTAATTACAACATTTATGATATATTTGAGATGAATTTTGTGAGGGTTAAAAAATACTTTCCACTCGAAATCATTATATTTAAGAGTCTCAGTCAATTAAGGTACATGTATCCAATCATGAAGTTGAGAGTTCTAAGGTACATGTATCCAATCTTGAGGTTGAGAGTTCGAATCCTCATCCCACACCTGTTGTACTAATAAAAAGAGAGTAATATTTCGGAAGAAGTTAAAAATATTTTCAAGTCCCAATTTGTTACTATAAAAGGTACTTATTTATTTTAATGGTCATTAACGAGGATGTTTAATTTGTTTTCCCTCAAAAAATGATGCACTGGCAGATTAAGATGCAGCGAGCACTAAGATGATTCTCGAAGTTGATGTGGAGGAAAGACAGCGCATGGACACGTCAAAAAGGTACGACTAAGTGGGGAATTGCAACCCAAAATCATTTTCTTTCTTGCTCATTGCGCACTTGTCTAAAAGACATTACCGATTAAGTGATATGCTGCAGCAATTTTTGTTTGTTCTGGTGAAAAAAATGAAAAAAATCACAAGCAGAAACATGGAAGCAAATGATCTATTATCATGAATGCTGCTATCTTCTTACCAATCTTTCCACTTTGAGGCTAAATTTTAAACCATTCCTTAAAATGTCAAATTGTCACAAGGGTTGTGCAAACAGGGTTACTTGTTTCTACTCTGCTTTAGCAAAAACTACTTATTATTTGGAATTGAATGGTTATGAAGCTAATGTTAGTGGAATCACCTATTGGAAGAAATTGCATCTGGGTTTATAACCGTGTACATGTTGGCAATCTCTTTAGTTTCTGAATTTGTTCACCAATTTAAGAACTATTATATGAGTCTGTCATGATCAAATCAAAATTGTCATCTAAACAATATGGATTGACTGAATATATGAAAAGAAAATTCATATTTCATAACTCAAAAGAGCTCATTTATATAATACACATTTTAGATGCTTTCAATTTTGTCAGATTTTGGGAAAACATTTTTGCATATGAGTGAATTCCAATGCTCTCTCTTTAGAAAGTTTGAAATTTTTGTATATGAGAAGTGTTGACTTGTTGAAGACTGGATGGCTCCTAACTCATTAGGTTCTAAGGTCAGGAACGAATAGGTCATGCATTCTTTCAATGGTATGTATGTTGATATGAAATTTGTAGCAGAGATGTTACTCTTGACAATTTTTATGCTTTAATTTGTTCTACTTTTTAACATATGATTTTTCTATGCTTTAGAAAACTGATGTGTTATAAATACGAAATTCTCTACAATTAATTTTGTAAGATTGGAGAGCTTTTGTTTTGATTTGTTTTTTTAGGGTCATCACGTCTCGTGTTTTTAGGCACTTTATTTATTTATTTCTAATGAATTGTTTATCTAAAAAAATAAATTTTTTCTATGTTTTGATTTTCTCGTATAGTTGTTTTCGGGATGGGCCTTCTCATCCCTTATCCTCGGGCTGTTATTTTGTATTTTTTTTTATCAATAAATTTATTTCTTAAAAAGAATATATGATTTTTAATTAGGTATACCTTTTTCTCTCTTTCTATTACAACTACTATTGGTTTTTCTTGCAAGCACAACACGGAGATATTACGATACCAATTGCAGAACATTCAGGAAGTTGATTACAGTTGAGTTAAAAATAAGGAACTTGATCACATACTGGAAGTGATGACCCCTATAAACCTAAGCTCTTTCAGATGCTATACTCGACCGATGGTGGTTCCATATAAATCATAAATTGATGACATTCACCACACTCCACGGATCTTTACCCCCATCCAACTAGCTTTGGCTCCTTGGATCGGTAAGTGAGTCCAATCAAGACTCGATCATGAGTTCTTTTCCATATCATAGAAATCTCTCAAGCTCTTGTATTGATTAACTGATTTGTTTTTGGATTTTTGACTTCACCAGGTTTCTTATATCTTTATCTCCATTGCATACGGCCTTTTTTTTCCTTCACATCTGGATGGTGAGTTTCAAATTCACGATTTTTTTATTAGAGATATATGACTTAATCGATTGAGTTAAGTTTAGGTGGGTATGTATGTAATATTCTTGTTAACGTGATTGTATTACTGATTGATCTTTTAAGGTATGTTATAGTGTTTTTGTTTTTTATTTATGATTTCTTGCCTCTGTTTTTTAGAAATCTAAGCATTTGGTAATTATATTCATATTTATCGTTTATCAAAATTTTAAAACTTAAAATTGTTAGAAATTTTGGAAATAATACAATCATTCCTGGTCTCTTGTTCTTTTAAAAATTTTACAAACCAATGCTCAATAAATATTAAAAAAAAAAGTAAGATAATTTTTTAAAAAATATTTTTTAGAAAAAATAAATAAGAAAGGATAACATTATGAGACTAATTTTCTTTTTCAATTTAAACCCCATTAACATGTCATTTTGTATACCCTAAAGCAAAAAAAAAAAAATATACATATATATATATATTAGAAGTTTTATAATAATTATTGACTATTTTTAGAAATTGATGATTGAATTTTCTTCTGTAGGGGTAGAAATGGGATAGATATCTCTCACTTCTCTCCTCTCGGTTGTCAATTGTCATCCCTAAAGATAACGCCATCAATCCAATCTCATACAATTTTATTACTATATTATTAATTTAGCTAAAAATGCTTTAAATTTTATTATTATGATCTAATATTTTACATTTTGTTTTAATCTTTTGAATTTTACGTAATAATCTATTTAATCATTATTATTATATTGCATGGTGTTAAGCCATACAAAAAAAAGGGAAAAAAAGTTTTACATGGTGTGGTGGTTGGTATTGTAGATTTTGTATTCTAAGTCTTGTTTATGAAATCTAGTAATGTCTTAAATTTTAGAAATTATGTAAAAATGATCTGAACAAGTAATTCTAAAAGTCTATAGTTTGAAATAAAACATGAATTAACATTTTATGAATAAGGATAATCAAACTATTATGGAATTTAAAATTTAAATTCTATTGAAAACTCTTGAAAAAATGCATAACTAAAAATTAAGAATTCATAAAAGAAAAATGGCAAATATAATATTATATAAGAATTAATATAACAAAATAACAGCAAAAATAATTACAAGTACATATTAAAAGAAATATGACAGGTCAATTGTGATGAATTAATATGTTGATTTTTTCGTTGTACTCATCCAAATATATATATAGATTTCTTTAGTACAACATGTAGGGACGGAGAAATTCAAATTCATGATCTTCTAACCGACATAAGTGTAAGTAACTATATTCGAGTTGACAATTAAAACATAGATTAATCAATAAATTATTATGATCAATCCAAGATTCAGGTCCCAGTTAATTAAATATTTATATCAAAGGTGTGGTTCCAAATCTTTGTTTTCACCCTCATTGATTTATCAAATGATATCATGTGAAATTAAAAGAAAAAAAAGGTAATTAGCAATTTAGCACTATTTTAGTTAACCAATGATCTATAATTTTATTTAAAATAAAAGGTTATATGTGATAATAATAATTAAAAAAATGGGACGCCGGTGGGATATTGAAATGAAAGTGTAGGAAGAAACAAAGACGACGACTTTGACCTTTACGGTGGTCCGCTCCACAGACGCATCTTTCTCTTTCTATCCCACAGACGCAGATCGGACGAACTCTGAACCCGATCGGACGGCCTGGTTCTTGTTTTTTTTTTTTGCTTCATCGCGATCTCCGTATTCGGATTTTTGCGAACAATTCTTGTTCTTACCCGGTACTGCTACCAGTAATCCACCACCCTCATTACGCAGGTACTACAAATTCTGATTTGAATCTTATCTATTTTGCTTTTCGATTCCTGCAATTGCGTCAATTTCCTCGATTGTGGCCGTTGAATTGTTATGAATTGCCAACTTTATGCCCTCGACTCGAATGATCTGCTGCAGGTAGGAAATGGATGTCGACAATTGGCGCTGGGGATTGGCCTATGATCAGTGGGTGGCACTGCCGGTGTCTAGTTCTCGACCGCCAGCTCGTTATAAGGTAAATTGTTGTTTTGACGTCGGATTACGTAGGCTCTTCTTTGCCTCGTAATGATTTCGCGAGTGATGTAGATTCTCGGGGCAGTCTTGTTGTGCAAGCTAATTTCGGTGATTTCGTCTCTTTACTATAGCATGCTGCAGCTGTAGTTGATCAGAAACTGTACATTGTCGGTGGAAGCCGTAATGGCCGGTATCTCTCTGATGTGCAGGTATGGAATATGGTAGGCCATTTTGGTTTATGTTCATCTACATTGGGTTGATTTCCGTTTCATGTTTGTCTATATACAGGTCTTGGACCTTAGCAATTTGTCCTGGTCCAGTCTTAAACTTCAAATAAATTCTAGTGCTGAGAATTCTGAAGGCAATGGTGCACCGGAGGCCCTTCCACCTATCGCAGGGCATAGCATGGTAATCATTATAAGGCCTTCTTATTGGTACAAATTACGTGCCCCATACCTGTCTTGAATCACGTTTATAGTCACCCGCTGGACTATTTGGATAATTTTAACTGGCAGGTCAAATGGGAGAAGAAACTTGTCATGCTGGGTGGAAATTTGAAAGGATCATCTGATAGAATTTTGGGTTTGTGCTCTATGAACTAAGTTATTGTCTACGAGATTATATATATATATATATATATATATATATATATATATATATATATATTTATATCCGTGAGTGTCGGGCCAGCTTACGCGCGTCTACGAGATTATATTGTTCCTCTATGATAATTCATAATGCCCTGCTGCAATATTTTTAACTGAATCCCGTTCTCTTTTTTATTTATTTTTAATGATATTTTGTGTTTCTATGTGTGAGGTATCTCCTCACAAAGTTCTTTGATTAAATTCCCAAAAGCAAGCCCGAAGGCGATACAGAAAAACAAGATAATCAACCCACCAATTCGAGAGGGTTGGGAACTCTCCTAAGAGAGGGTGGGGAACTCTCCTAAGCTACAATGTAGCAACCAAAAAACACTGAAATCCAGAATGCCCCCCTCCTAACGACATTCCCTCCCTAAAAAGGACAACATGTCCCACTAACAACCTCCAGTTAGGCTCACAGCTAGGCCTACCTCCCCCTCTCTTGGCCGTTTGGCCTACAATCACTCAATGATCATCTTACCCTTCCCTTTCTCCTTTCTACTATACGTCCTTACTATTGGGGGCCTAACACTATGCTGCAGTATGTTTTTTTTATTTGAATTCTGGAACCTTATTCTCTACTTATGGTCCTTGCAGTTCATTGCATTGATCTAGAAACAGACATATGGAGCATTATGGAGACGTTTGGAGAAGTTCCGGTATTTGACCAAAGTTTTGAATGTTATGGTCTTGATTTCAGTGCTTATGCTGTATCAAAGTTTTACAGACTTTTTGCTCATATGTCACCCTTCAAAACGATATTGATCATATTGCTCATGGAGTATATTTCAGACTGCTCGTGCTGGACATTCAGCAACACTTTTTGGTTCCAAAATCATAATGTTCGGTGGTGAAGATGAAAGCCGGAGTCTTCTAAATGACATCTATGTTCTTGATTTAGAGACGTGGACCTGGGATGTACTGGAGACAAAGTAAGCATTCATTCTGCTTGTTTAGCTAAGTATTGGTCTACTTTGGGAAATTGCTTCATCACTTCCTTGGGCTTTGATAGGCAGACACCACCACCTCCAAGATTTGATCATACAGCAGCAATGCACGCAGAACACTACCTCCTAGTTTTTGGCGGTTGTTCTCACTCAGCCTTTTTTAGTGATCTTCATGTGCTGGATTTTCGAACTGTGAGTATTCCTCTTCTTGCCTCTTTTCATTCTTTTTGGCATGCATGTGTTTTTCTCATTGAAGTGATTATTTGTATGACTTGACTTACTGTTCATTTGGCTTCTCAATCATTTCTAAACTGTCATTTCATATACCTCTTACCAAAAAAAAAAAAAACTGTCATTTCATATACCACAAAGAAAAAGATTAGAATGTTTGGGGACTATATCGTAACTAGGATTTTTATACTAGTACTTGCACTAGAAGTTATCATACTTGTAAATTGTAATGCCCTCATAGAGCAATCATGTTAATATACCGCAATCTTGCTATGTCTACACTATGGTTGGTGCTGTTACCTTGGCCAGTATTGATGCATGAAATTGTGTGATTCCTGAATGGTATTGATTTGATTATTTATCTCCTAGAAAGAATTGAACTTCTTCGTCCTTTTGTAGTAGTTGTGTATTATCTGTTTAATGAGTGATTCTGATTCGTTAGGGATATAAGAGGCAAGAGCATGAGGTTTCTTAAGCCATAGATCTTAACTACGTGTTACAGAAGTTGGAGTTTATTTCCAATTTTATATCTGTACCGCCCCCTGAACTCTGATGTTCTTTGTCATGTCAATTATATTAAAGGAAGCCTTATTTTTATCCTTACCTTGTAGACCCATGGTTGGTAGGGTGGAGCATCAACTACTCCAATGGCTTGCTCAGTGAGAGATTGGTTGATTATGAAAAACTTGAAAGCTGGAGCTACCAGATCCAGCTCTAGATCGTAGGCTTGCTCTGCTTAACATTTTGGGTTGAGCTAGCCAATTCTTCTTTTTTTTTTGGTGGAATGGAACTTTTTGGTTCTAAACCATTTTGTAATTGTCCATTGTCAGAATCAATTTTGGTTCTAAACCATTTAAATCTATTCTGGTTGTCCGTCAGTGTCTTGAGTATTTGATCTCGCCATAGGTTAGAAACTGAAACCATAAGCCTCCTGCTAGAATTATTGCAGTGTCCCGAGAGCATCATTTTTGTCAAATTTTATAAACTCAAGAAGCATTAAAGTGTTATGTATGCTGCAGATGGAGTGGTCCCAGCCAGAATTACAGGGTGATTTGGTGACTCCCAGGGCTGGCCATGCTGGTATAACCATTGGCGAGAACTGGTATATAGTCGGTGGTGGTGATAATAAAAATGGTATCTAGAGCTATTTTAAAGCATTATATGAACTTTAACATATTAAATTACTAAAAGATTATTATGAATATGTGGACATTCTCTTTCAGGTTGCCCAGAAACAATTGTGCTTAATATGTCTAAGCTTTCTTGGTTAGCTTTGACAAGCGTAAAGCAAAGAGAACCCCTTGCTAGTGAGGTGATTGCAGAGAACATTCTCGCCTAGATTCTTTCCTATTAATCAATTTTATCGATATTACATGTGGAAGTTTATTTTATGGTTGCAAACACTAGGTATTACTTTTTATGATAACATCTTGAGATCGCATTGATTTGTCCTGGTGTGTAATGTGCAACTGTTCTGGTCCTTTTCCTTTATCTTTTCATTGAAGTAGCCTTGATGGTTGTTTTATGCCCTTAATTTCCCGGTTAACATAAAATATATGATGACTTATTCCCAAGAAATAGGTAATTTGCAACTTTTCTCGTCCTTTTTCTTTCTCTTTTCATTGAAGTAGCCTTGGTGGTTACTGGTTGTTTTATGCCCTTAATTACCCGGTTAACATAAAATATATGATGACTTATTCCCAAGAAATGGGTAACATGCACAGCTATTTTCCCCAAAGAATGAAGTATTGGCCTGGGATTTGGAATGATTTCCAATTAAGTACAAATATTTCTCGTACTAATATTTTTGCCCCCAAGGGCAGCCTAGTTGGTAAAGGCTTGAGGTCTCTTGGTCATACTGGTTTAGAGGTCTCAAGTTCGAACCTTCCGGTAAGCTTAATACCAAAATCCCTTGATGTCTGGGATCCGGACCTTGAGACGGGCGCAATTTTCCCTGGGTATAGGGGAGCAAGGCTCCGACTACCAGTTATAAAAACAAAAAGGAATAAAAAAAAACATTTTTGAAACCTTTGGTTTTTGTTACTGATGACAATTTTTTATCTTTATGAAAAGAGTTTTGATGGGACAATTATGTAACTTCAGTAGAATGCAAGTTGTAATCTTAGAAGCAAAACATTAACATACTATGTAGTGCCTTTATGGAGCCAAGTCCCTATACTAACAAATATGACGAAAAGAAGTCTGTCACTATCTCCAACCTATAATTTCTGATTCCTAGAGCAAAATGCACATACAACGATCACATCTACATGTATATGTGAGAAGTATTTACTATCTCCTTTTATGTTCTTAGGGTGATATATGCTTTTGTTTTTTGAAGCTTAGATCTTTTAAGGTGAACAAATGGTCCAAAAAAACATGTCATATAATCTAATGATTGCATGCATATATACACTAGTGTTCTCTTTCTTATATGTTGTTTAAACAAATGGTCCTAATGTAATGATGTCCTTGACTTTGTCAATTAATTGAGATTTCCCTTGATGCAGCAATGTAACTCTAGTGTCTTGATTAATAATGTATGTGGTCTTCTTGGTGTTTTACTACCAATGCATTTTGGAAATAGGGAATCAGTATCAGTTTGGCTACAATTGAACAAGAAAAATATCTGGTTGCATTTGGTGGTTACAACGGAAAGTATAACAATGAGGTATGTTTTAGGTGAATAATACACATCTCTTTCTGTTTTTATCTTGCTATCTCATGAACCGTTCCGAGAGTTTGTTCTTGTAACTTATTTCTGTGTCCTTAACTTATAGGTTTTTGTCATGAGACCCAAACCAAGAGATTCATCACGTCCCAAGATATTCCAATCACCAGCAGCAGCGGCAGCAGCAGCTTCTGTTACTGCTGCATATGCCTTAGCCAAGACTGAAAAGTTGGACTTTGAAAAAATAGAAGATGATGTCTCTAAGGGAAGAGAGGCAAGGCATTCTCAACCAGATGGCACTTTTGAACTCGAGGCCATTAGAGAAGCGAAAGCTAAGCTAGAACTGGCACTTTCTGAAGTTGAAGGAGAAAACTCTAAACTTAAACAACAGATTGATGAAGTAAACAATACTCATGCAGAGCTGTCCAAGGTACGTGGTTTGTGGTAAAATTTACACTTACAAGATGTTATTTCATGTTTGGTTCTGAACTCTTATGATTTTTGTTGACTTTTCATCTCATCAGGAATTACAGTCAGTACAAGGTCAACTAATAGCCGAACGATCAAGATGCTTTAAACTGGAGGTTGTATTTCATAACAAAATTTATGACACTGCATATTTTCCCTTCCCTTTGACCCTGACGCACCAGGCGGATTCATAGAAAAGTTGACTTTTGATGATCATATCATATTGATTAAAAGATCTTAGCTTAGGTATCATTTTCTGAGTTTGTTCCTGATTGACCAACAGGCACAAATAGCTGAACTACAAAATATGCTAGAATCGATGCAATCCATTGAGCATGAGGTCCAACTCCTGAGGGAACAAAAATCTGCACTGGAGCAACATATGGAGGTTGCTTCAACTGTTCAGAGACAAGGTTCTGGCAGTGTGTGGCGGTGGATCGCGGGGGGTACCAGCAGCTAGTCCTCAGAAGCCAGTTTGATAAATTCTGCTCCAGTAAGACGACCACCTTCAAACAGCCAGGATGTTGTGAAGCTAAGATCAATCATGTTACATCAAAAAATTTCGGTATCGGTTTCTTAATCTTTGATTGGCACGTAACAGAGACGACACTTGATGTGCTCGATTTGCAACAGATTACACGACTTCGCCCCAATGGATACAAAAGATGAAGTTGTAGTGCTCTGGAAACACTACAGATAGTTGGACTCTATTCATTTTTCAGCATTTGTTCTTATACTCATTCTTTGGATTGCCTTCTCTGATTGTTTTGGTCTTCTTCTATCATTGACCAATTACTTCATTCAAATGTGGGAGCGTTCTCCATTTTGGGTATCTGTGTGAAACTTCTCTTATGTACAGTAAATAGTATTTAAATGTTTTCAAGCTAAGATAGAAATTTACACAAATAAATTCATATATTTTATTGTTAGGAAAGGTGCTTGACCATCTCTAAAATGCAAAACACCTCATTTGCATTTTCCTTTTTCTTCAAGCTTTTGAGTTGTACTATAAAACCACCCCTCTAAAGGGTGTTGATGGAAAATTGTACATTTCTTCTCACGTATGTTTACTCAAACAATACCCTTCCTTGTGCCAACTCGATGTGACACTGAAGTAGGGAGTAGGAGCCGTGACACTCAAGTGAGGAGTAGGGGCCATAGTACACAAGCCGAAGCTTAAGACCAATCTTCAGTTAAGAAAGAGACTGTTCCCATTTTTTGTTACTGTTTTCTCTTTTATAATAAAAAAAATAAAATTGCAAGTCTCCAACATCTATAGATTCAAGTAGAATTGCAAGCCTCCAATGATGAAATAAGATCTTCATTTATGTTGGAACAAATTGAAAATGAGAACAAGAAACAAAAAAATTATTTTATAAAAAATGAGAAACAAGAAGATACTAAACACTCTAAAAGAATAACAGAGTATGACAACCAATAAAATTTTAGCACCTATCTAAGCTAACTGTAGATTTGAGTCTTCATCAAAAATATTTAATATTTATGATGTAATATTAAAGAAAAAGAAGCTCTCAGATAATATATGGTTGATGAGATTACACAAGGGAGAAAAAAATAAATAAATAAAAATCAGTAAGGCACAAAATGAATCCTTGCAGAGAAAGTAGCCCTAAACTTGAATAAAAACAATTGTAAGTTTCTCGTGAATGATGAACAAATTCCAGTGTGGTGAAAGTTTCTCTTCCCTTTGTTTTCTCATATACCTATAACAATGAAGAGAGTAAAGTAGCGTTTTGGGATCAAAACGCATAAAAGAAAACCAAATAACCTAAGATAATAATATATATATGCAAGTATAAATGTTCTCTTCCCTCATCCAACTACTGTGTAAAACATCTCTGTAGTGTAGACAAAAGAATGTATAAAGTTAAAAAGCAAACCCCAGAGAGCGGGCAAGGGGAGTCGAGGCAGTGACTCGAGAAGGGCAGTTCCATTCCATTCCACCTCAGTTTATATGCTGTTTTTGGCTGCTGGAGAGGGAGATTTAGCAGCAGCCAGTAAAACCTTATTCATTGCCACACCTAATCTTTAATTCTGCTTCTGCATCAATGGGAATATATACAACTCCCAACTTTATAGCTCACTGAAAGTATAAGGACCCAGAAAAGCAGAAAGAAGAACAAGAAGCTGCCCCGTGACCCCGTATTCCCATTCTTCTGAGATACTGCAACAAATATCGGTGTCTGGCGGATGATATCGTCATTGACACCTTGAAGTCCGCCAAGAAAATGGGTTTGGTTGACCTCTGCATACTTTCGGTATAAGGCCAAGGAATTTGCCAGATCTTCACTTGATGTCAAGCTTCTTATTTGGATCATTCCGGCAGTCAAATGAACTGAACTGGAAGTTGGAGCGGCTGAGTTCTGCTGAATGGCCGTGTCCTTTGATGGATACTCTGAAGCAAATGCAGGAGGAGCCGGGATGTCGCCCAACAAGTAACTGGCACGTTTGAGAAATGATGATCTTGAATCTGAAACAACAAAACATTAATGAGTAGGTGATATCATGAAAATGTATCTACCATCCTGATTCTAACTATTATTGGTGTGTAAATTTTTATGTCGAGAATTCTACCCAAGCCTGTTTCAGTAGTAGCCTCAGGCTTTTGCTTTGAAGTGGATGCATCATTGCCGGAAGCAACAGACGTTTGTTTGATAGCAACGAACTCGTTTTCTGCAACTCCATTTGCTTTCTATTAAGAGAGATTGTAGTTTAGTTGAAGTTATCTTCAAAGTTTAAAATCCCAAATGCGCAACTGTAATACTTGACAGTAAAATTTACCTCTTCAGGAATTGCTTGGCCAGAAATAGGATCTTCACTGCCCAAAATTTCTGATGGGTCAAAAGACAGCTGTAAGTTGTCATCATCTGCATCAAAGAATGTAAGATACTCTTCAAGCACGTCAAAACCAATAGGATCAGTTTCAACTGGATTTGAAAGATCATTGGCCTCAAGGAATAGTTCCTCATTGAGTGCAAGATCGTCCGGAACACTTGGGTAAGGCTCATCAAGTAAGTAATCAACATCCTCATGCTTATAATTGTCACTTGATTCCGCAAAATTATCACTTGATTCAGCATTCCCACCCATTCCGCATTGCTCTGGTAATTGAAAGAATCCATGGTTATGCTGTAGCTCCAAAGTATCGCCTACACATACTTCTGGTTTTGTATCACTTTCAACAAGCACATCGGGTAGATCAACATGATTGCTAGTGTCTTCAGGATAGTTCGAGGGAAGTTGAGCATATTCAAATGGAAGTCCTTCATCAAGATACTGCTGCCCAAAGACAAAGCATCTCAGCACACTTTTCCAACAGGTTAACGTATTACAACTTTTTTTTTTGGCGGTTTAACAATGATTTGATCAAAAGCACTCGAGTAAATATTAAAGTACCATTATTAGAACATTTAAAAGTGGTTTTTTCATATCCTAAGAATATTCTTATTCTTAACTATTGGGTAGTACTTCTCAAATTTTCATAATGTTGAAAAAAACTTTTTGTGCCTCTTTAATCTGTGATAACAGTTCCATCCTACTGACTTAACGACAGACTTCACGCACCATACTGCACCATACTGCTAGCTAGAAGAGATAAGGTATTTTCTACTATTATATGTTCCACCTAAAGGTTCGACACAAGATTTTAGGCTATGATCCAAAACCTAACGAACAAGGCTGCCCCCTGGGGAAAAATGATTTAGCGCCTTCAAAAGCATTTGATTAGTTTTACTTTTTCCTTCTAGAACTGCTAGATAGAATAGAGTTTGATTAAAACACTTCTCCCAAAGCACTCTCTAACTCACCATTAATATAGTATATAAAATCCATTTTTAGAAGGAATAATCATGCTTTCAATCATCCTTGACCTCACCCTTTCATATACATATGCTTCATAATCCATTTGCAAACAATGAACCATCCTTTTTTTTTCTGTTTGCACAGTTTACTAAACAACCCTATGGAAGATCTAGAGCACACATCAAATAACCTATATGAAACCGTATGGAAACAATTCAATTGAAACTTAGCAGCAGAAAGGACCAAGCTTAGATAGTCCTTTGCAATCTTACTGGTGAAGAAACTATATATATATTAACAATCGAAAGTTGAGAATCCTTCCTAACCATGGAAGATTGAATGGCAGATAGAAGTTTACTGGCTATATTGAACAAAGCACAAACCTGAGCAATGTCATCCACTCCAAAATGGATATCATCATCAACTAACCCCTCATTGGCCACAACCTCCTCCCCAGGCATTACAATTAACTCTTCATCGTCCTCCCACTCCTCCTCGATAAATGGAGCTCCATATTGTTCTCCGTTCTTCGGTCCTGTACCACTCTTTTGAAATATCCTACAAAGCACAAAAGCATCCTGCCCATCGAAAACAATAGCCAAACAATTCAAGAAGAATTAAAATTCAGCGGAAGACGAGAGGGAGAATGCGTACAGTACGAAAACACAAACCCCAAAAAGAAAACGTAAAAGTTCAAAAAGTTTGAATTCCCCACCTGCACAACCCCAGCTTTCTCCAAGTCCTCATCCGTTAATCTATATTCATGCATCACCCAATTGCTGCGATCCCCGCGAGGCGCCCGCCCGCTGTGGTAAACAAGAGTCTTCTTCATCCCAACAACCCGTGAGTTGTGACGTACCGGCCGGTCCTTTCCGGTCGTCTTCCAATACCCCTTCTCGGTAGCTCTATTGGTCCTTGAACTGTTGCCATATTTCTTATCCAGAGGACTAAAGAAGTACCACTCCAAGTCTCTAGTCTTCAGCTTCGACTTCTCTGAAAAAAAAAAATCCCAACATATAACGACCCGATTACCAGAATTCCAAACAAAATCTACACATATCAAAATGAGAAAGAGAAGGTAACCTACCAGGAAGGTCCCACGGCTCCGATTTGTATATGTCAGTGACGGAGATAGGCTCGAAACGGACGGATTTGCCGGAAACTTTGCGCCTGAGATAATAACGCACAAGTTCCTCGTCGGTGGGGTGAAATCGAAACCCCGGAGCAAGAGACGCAGCAGAACCACGGCCCATAAGAAAAATAACCAGAAGATCAAAAATCGATAAGGGTTTAACCGATTTTCCGAACAGAAAATGAGAGATCGAAAACGAAACTAAAATTAAAAGAATTCTTCGACAAACTTCATCTTCAAAGATCAATCCTGTGGATTTTCAAGCAATCAAGGATCAAATGGATGAAAAAATCGATAGACGGAAGAGGAAAGCAGAGAAAAATGAAGCCGGAGAATCGGCAAGAAGAAAGTCCATTTTCGCTTCTTCGTCAGGAGGGCTCTTTTAGTCTCTTAGTTAAGAAGAAGGTTCGGGAATTAATGTAGTCTAAAATCACTCGTCTGTCACGCTTCCCAAGTGAACGTATCAACCAGATAAGTACACGTGGACTCCCTTGTAGTGGTCGGTTACGAATTGGTAATTTTACTGTGACGTAATTGCATCCGTCAGATTAATTCATAAGATCAAATGCATCGAATCGAAGGGTGAATGAATATGAAGTGTAATTATATTTTTAATGAAGTATCGTTACAATTTACTGTTTTCTTAATAAGAAATTATTTAAAATAATTTACCATTTAATATTTGCTTTTCTCCTCAACTTGCCCTTGGAGATTTTACTTCCCAGTGCTAGGAAATTTTGTTTATAAGGGTATAAGTGTAATTCATAAAAACAATAATACTAATAAAACAAAATTATTTTATTTGTTTTCAAGAACGCGAGGAGGAAGTTGCCCAAGTTCTTACTTCATTCTTAAGGCAAATATATGAAGGTGACTTAGCTAATGTCAATTTTAGCCCTAACTTTTTCCCTTTTTTTAGCATAGCCTAACCTAACTTTTGATTATTAATTTTGAGAGGTTTATCTTATGAAAATTTTAATTTTTGGTTAAATTAAGTTAAAGTTATTAAACCCTCAGTCTAATAGTTTCATGGACTTTAAAAAATATTTAATAGGTCAATAAACTTTCAATTCTGTATATAGGTTATTGGCATATTCGACATTTTTTAAATATAAAATTAAATTATGTACCGAATAGAATCCTAAAATTTTTAATTTTGTGTCTAATAGGTTTGTGAATTTTTAAAATTGTAGAATATGTCGTGGACTATTAAATACAAAATTGAAAGTTTATAAATTTATTAGACACAAAAATGAAAATTAAGATCTATTAGTCGCTTGGTACGAGAATTTATTAGACACAAATTTGAAAATACAAGGATTAGACTTGTAATTCAACCTCATTTTATTGGGAGAATAAGCCCCGATAGTTTTTTAAAAAATAATGGACTATATTAAATGATAATCAATTTACATTCATATACATGGATTTGTAATTCGGTTTCATTCTTATTATGTAGTATAAATTACAATGTTAATCTAAACATAGCTGTTAATATATATATATATATATATATATATATATATAAATATATCAAAGGTTCTAAGTCCTCCACCCTCCATATTTGTTAGAATAAAAAAATGAAAATTATAGTAAATAAAACACAACTTCCTTGAGAAGACTACATCAAATAAGTTGACCTGACTAAATAAATAAAATAATGCCAATTGGATTGTATTATAATAGGGTGCATTTTGGTTGATTCCAATTTTTGAAAGGTCAATTTAGCTTCTTTTTTTTTTTTATCTCAAATTATTTATCATTTATTTTGGTCTTTCTTTTTAAACCAATAGGTTAGCTGAAATATTTTTAGGTTGCAATTTCTTTTAAAAAATAACATCGCTCTAACTGCATCAACATTAATTAAAAAAAAAAGTCCGAATAGAAACAATCATTTCAGTCTCTTGAACATTTTGCCAAGCAATTATTTCTAACAATTTAGTGTGTGGCTTTGTTGCTTCTTCTCGCTCCCTGCATGAAATTATCAAATCACTATATTCCTATGAGATTATTTGAGAACTCGATAAAGAACAAAAGAAGATTTTCAATATTACAAACGTATCACCTGAATATAAACTTGTCACTCATAACTATCTCTATTTATAAATTGTTGGGCCGCATAGTAATGGCCCAATCGTTTCGCCCTGAGACCAGTAGTGGCCCATTGGACGCCCTTTAATATTGACCCAAATGTTTCACGTTGAGACCAGCAGTGGCCCATTGGACCTCACTTTATGATTGGCCCATTTGGGTGCAAGTTCTTTTTGCTGGGCCTGGTTTATTTACAAAAATAGCCTTATATATTTGTATGTGTGTGTACATGTTTTTTATTTTTTAGTGGACGTGAACCAAATTTTCTTTTAACTTATTTTTTAAGAACACTCTTAACCTATATCTTATATCTTATCTATTAAATTAGGATCGAATCAATATTTAAATTTTAGTATCACTTCTATTAATAAAAAAGTTTAAAAGAAAAATCTCTTATTTATTACGGGACTAAATTATGTAAAATATCTTAAATTATAAGATTAGTTTCAATTTTCCTAAATATTTTAAAATCAACGATTTTCATTAGCTTAGTCACTGAAGTCAAAATGAAATTATGACCTAATATATAAATAGTAGCTTGAATGTTAGAGATAAAAAAATGTAAATAAATAAATAAGAGCATGAGGGGCTGATACAAGATTTTGGGAGGAGAATGGGCGAGAGTTTTTGATACAGTACAAGGTTTATTGAGTTGGAGATAGAAATAATTTATTCGTTCATTAATTAATAAATAAATAAAATTCTACGCCCTTGCAAAACCACTAGTTTTCTATTTGCCTCTTATTTTCTTTTATTTTTATTCATTCTTATTTTGAATGTATATATAATTTTACTAAATAATTATTTACTAATAAGAAATTAATTATTTTTTACTTATAAAAATGTTTGGATTAACTTCCATAAAAGTCACATAGCATTCCTATCATAACCAAGCACAATAATGTTTGATTTCCAACAATTTGATTATATTTTGTTTATGAAATATAGCCTTTTATCATTTATTTTCCAATTTGATTATTGTACTAATTAATTACAATTAAAAGTTAATATAATTCGTTAAACACGTTTCTTTTGAATTTGACTTAATAAAAAAATTAATTAATTAACGACAATTAATTATTTAAAATTAACTAATGTAAATTAATTTTCGGGAGTTAATTTAAATGGTCTATAATTAACTAACATCAATTAATCATTTATTTCCATCAAATCAATTAATTTCTTAACAAATCAGCTTGATAATTCCAATGAAAAATTATGGAGAGAATGGAAGACTTTTTCATTTGAAAAGAGACAAATTATTGCAGGCGCTGATGCCTGCAAAAGCATACCAAAAAACCCATTGAAGGAAAGGGTAACCTTGTCCAATTATGCTCTTATATTATTTAAAATTTTCAATTTATTATTTCATATTTTTAACATTGTCGGTAAATATTAAAGTCATGTCGTTATAAATTTAAATGAGAAATCACCATAACAAAAAAAAAAAAAAAATGCAAAATTTATACTCACTCCTGATGATAATTTTTTCCCCGTTATAATCATTACAAATTTTATATTTATTTTTTTCTAAAAAGAATTATATTCTCTCTCCCTTTTTAGGTTATTCTTTCTCCGCTAAATATTATTCTTTAAAGGAATAACTGAAAATTTTGTGTTAAAAAACATCTCATCAATCAACCTTAACATTAATCAAAATAAGAGGAAAAAGTTTAATCCTAAAACTCAATTGAAAATATTTAAACAACAGAGAGATGAGATGGAAAAGAAAAATATTATTTTCCTTCTAATTTAACAACATGATTGTCGTTCTCAAGTACAATAATATTCTTATATCTCAATTATCTCTCTTGATACCTTCTTAAAAATGAATAAAATACCACATAATCTAAAAGTTTAAACGGATAAATTAGATAAATTTAATTCATTTGTATTTATATGGATTCTCACTAATATGGTCTACTTTGGACCCTCAGGTCTATGCTTTTAATTTCACAAAAAAAAAAAAAATCAATCTACATAATATGAATAATTCTATTTGTCTACTTGGAACTTTGCTTGCATGGACACTTTACAAACTTAAGTAGGAAAACTTTCCAGTACAATTTGTTTGTTTCTTTTTTGGTTCGTGCCAATTATGGTATCCAAAATCGACCATCTCTCGTCTCACTTGTCAAGGTTCGAACCACTACCTTTCAATGGATGATATATGCCACCGTCATCAAAGAAATACTTAAATATTATGGCCATAAATGCTATAATTTAGACTTACACACGTACGCTACCGGCTACCGCCAGCACCACCACTGTTTCATTTGCATAGCTATAGCTCACAAACTTTTCTTCAGATGGTTTTGGTTTCTTCTTCTTTTTTCCCGAGAAAGCGATTTTCTCAGAGAAAGTTGAAGGAGGGGGCAACAGAAAAAGGCTGCTGGTTTTGCTTGCTTATGAGTGTTGGAAAATGATGGGTTCTTCTTCAAAAGGAAGATGGTTTAGCTACGATTACTCTTTCAAGATTTTGTTGATTGGGGACTCTGGTGTGGGAAAAAGCAGTATTCTCCTCAGTTACATCTCCAATTTTGTTCATGATCTCTCTCCCACCATCGGTTCTCTCTCTTTCCCTCTTTCTATATTTGCATGTTTGTTTTGGTTTCAAATTACCCAGATGTTCTATTCACGGTTTCCTTCTTACTTCCATTGTTTTTCTTCTCCCCTGTTCTTAGTTTGCTGGTTTCAATTTTGTGATTGATTTCTGGAATTTCTTCAAGTGCTTTCTGAATTGGGATTTCATGCTGGAAATGGTTTCTCTGTCTCTAACTATCTTCAAGGGCTAAATATTGTTAGAATCAACTTTGTGGTTTAGTAAATTTATTCCTAAATATTGATTAGTTCAGGACTTGAGAGAGACATATTGAGATTTTCATTGTTAAGGAGCTTTTAGAGAGAATTAAACGGTAGCCTAGATAGATAGTAGTTTTTTTTCCTTCTTAAACAGGCAATTTCTAATAGAGAAGCTTGTGATTGGTTCATCATCTATGGATTAGTTGAGGTGAAATATTCTTATGTGTATGCATATGATCAATAGGCCGTGAAATGATACTTCTGATCGAGAAAATATCGTCGATAAGTATAGTTAGATGTGATGAGTGCTTGTATTATACATATGTTTGTAATGCTGCTCATGATTTCCCATTTTAATCAATATAACATAATTTCCATCTCCTGTTTAAACTTGAAATATGGTTTGACGCTTTTGCCCGGAAGTAATGTTTTGTAAGTTTTCGGTAAGTAGATAACAACAATGGGCAATGATATTATATCGGACGAGCTCTCTCATATAATCTTCAATTTGTTTGTTGTGTGGCTTCAGGTGTGGATTTCAAGATCAAGACTGTAACAGTTGGTGGAAAAAGATTGAAGCTAACAATTTGGGACACAGGTATGGATGATTGACTAGTTCTTTCTGGTCTCATTTTTACTATTTTTCCTCCGGCCGTTCTTCTACGATCATCCACTTATCTTAGAAAGTTATTCCCCCATGTAATGTGAGAAATAGCATTTGTCTCAAGTTCTTGGTGGTAAAAGATAAAAAATAAAACAGCCTTGTGAACTTGACACTCTTTATCGAGGATTTTTGTCGTTTCATTCAAGACACTTTCCAGTACGTGAATCCTATGTTCTTATATGCAGCTGGACAAGAGCGGTTCGGAATGTTGACAAGCTCTTACTATAGAGGTGCACATGGAATCATTCTAGGTATGCCAGAGAGGAAATAATCTTTGACATTCTTCTATTTTATTGGGAATGTTGATTAGCTACCTTTCATGAGTTGCTGTTTCATCTTAATTTCCTTCATGGATTTGTAAAATGAAAAATTCAGCAATTGAGAGCATATGGAGACTTTTTTTGCTCAGTAATTTAAGACAACAAGGATAAAGAACTGAGATAATAGAAACAGGATGAAAGAGATGTAGTCAATTAGTGTTCACTTCTGCTCTATCTTTTATCCTCTTTTGTTTTAGAAAGTCTGTAGAAACAGGATTTGTAATTTTTTTCTCCTCGTTTATTTTCTTGTGTACCAAACCATTTGCAGTTTTGGAGAGAAAGTTTTGTTCTTGTTTCTTATATTGTTGAAACTGGCTCTCGTGGCATGCTTTTTTTTTTCCTTGTTCACAATTTGAGTGTATAAAATTTGGTTTGAACTTCCTGAGGCCTGATACTGACCTAATATTTGCCAATAGTGTACGATGTCACACGACGGGAGACATTTACGAACTTGTTGAATATATGGGCAAAGGAAGTGGAGCTGTATTTAACCAACCATGAGTGCATAAAAATTCTAGTTGGAAATAAAGTTGACCGGGTAAGTTGTATGATCCTGCTATTTGATTCCACGTTCATCCTTTATCGACATTCTGTTGTCATGCCGTGCTACTTTGCTTGCATTGGACAATATCGATAATCTTCAAATCTGAAACTCTTCATTCTAAATTACATTACATTGGGAGAGAATTTTTAAAAGTGCAGTGTCATGTCCTTGGGATCTTTAATATTGACAGGGTAGTGAAAGAGTGGTATCGACAGAAGAAGGGATGGCAGTTGCAGCGGAGCATAAAAGTATGTTTCTCGAGTGTAGTGCTAAAACTCGAGAAAATGTCGATAGATGCTTTAGAGATCTCTGTTTGAAGGTAACATTCTATCGCCATTTTTATTTGAATCATCTTCTAATCTTCATTATTATGTTATAGTGGGACTGATAACAGCTAACAATAGCCACTGCACACCATTTCATAAACATAAATGTTGTCCAGGAGTGTAGTCTTTCAGAACAATAATTCATACTCTCCTAACTTACCAAATGAAATTTTTGGTTTAATACATTGTTTAGTCATTTATTACCTAAACTGAATGCAAAATTTCCCTGAAACTCAAAAGCAAGCCAAAAATGATAAAGAACTTGTCTAAGTGACAGTTCCGTACTTCCACAAAGTAATGATAGCCTGTTGAGGCGTTTGCACTTAGCATCGAGTTGAGAGTAGCTCTAGAAGTGGCAGAAAACTTCCATGAAACGCGACACTCGACAGTAAATGTATTTCATCTCATGGCTTTTTTGGCATGGTCTAAATTGGTTCTAACTCTATTCCAGATACTGAAAGTTCCAAGTCTACTGGAAAATGGATCAGTCGCCATGAAGCAGCAAATTTTGGACAAAACACGAGCACGCAAAGCAGCGGAAGATGGAGGTTGTTGCCACTAACACGATGGTGCGCGCGTTACATCACAAGACACAAAACCAAACTTGCAGAAACAAATTTAGGAGATCTAAACATACTGCTGATGGAAATTCTTGAGAAAAAAGGCACAAATAAACCATCCAAGGTGATCATATATGCTCTTTTGCAATTCAATTTATGGCTATCACTGCTCCCATCAGTTTTTTTCCCGTTCAAAGAAAAAGAGGAGTGGCTGAGTTTTGTTGGGTAATGTTTTTGAGTAAAAAAAATGTAATAGAATCTCTGTAGATAATGTGAATACAGCGATAGTAAATACAGTTTTTTCCCACTTTTGTTTTGGAAACTTCATCCCAAAGTTTCAACTTCTGTTCATACTGATGAAAAAAATAATGCTGGTTTTAGTCTCTAGAATGGTTGTTTGATTGATAATTGCTATATTATATATATTGTAGAAGCTTCCTTTCAGTTTGGTGTAGAACTTTGAAGATTTTATGTTAATTGTTTCCTAGTTCAGGAATTTGATGATTGTTGGGGAGTTCGATAACCTTTTTTTTTTAATATTTAAAAAGTATGCATAATTTCTCATGATTTTATAGATATATATATTTTTTTAATTTTTAGTCAAATTTTACGGAAAAAAATGTTTTGAAAAAGTGATTTTTTTTTTATTTTTCAGAAAGTAGATAACAAAATAAAGAAATTTAATTTTTAAATTATTTTAAAAATAAAATTGCTATCAAACGGCACGAGATGAAAGAAGAACCATGAAAATGGCGAATTTGGACACGTGGGTGTAAGAATTCGAATATGTTATCGAACCGGACAAATTGTTATTTACCAATTTGAAAGTTCATTTTTTTTGTTAAGGTTTGCAATTTATTATTAGATAGCTCATTTTTCTTTTCAGGTTTAAAAAAGAATGTCCTAATAAACTTTAAATTTAAACATTGAAATTCATCATACTTCCATATTGTCATCTACCATAAAAGTATGAACTATAAATGGTATTACATTATGTTTACATTAAAGTATGTGATATATTAGATTATGTTTCCATTTAAGTGAATGATATATATGGATAATAACTGGTATCAAATTATATTTCCATTACCATAAAATAAATAAAAAGAATAAAAAATTAATAAGAATGGAAGAAAGTTACCATTTTTATCTTTCTCTACTTAAAAAGGTAAGATATTACTTATTATTTTTAATGGTCCCTTAAATGCTACTAGACCCTAACGTCATTTTTAAATATATTTCTATTTACCCTTCGAGGATGTGGAGTGATATTTACAAGGTTAACTGTGACTACTACTACGATATATATATGATTGGAGGTATTGAGTTCGAAGATAAATTTTGATTGATGATTTTCGTAATTATTCAGACGAGTAAGAATAATCAACAAGTCATTCGAATTTTGAATGGATCACGTGTTTTTTCTTTCAGTACAACAAATTGGGGGTATGAAGATTCGAACCTCCGACCTCAAAGGAAGGAGTAGGGTGCCAATTACTACTAAACTATGCTCATGTCGGTAAATACATCACGTGTTATCTTAAATACATTATTGAAATCTAAGGGACAAAAAATGTAAAATTCTAAAACTTGGAACCAAATAGATCTCTAACACAAACTTCAATTATCAAAAGGGTATTCATACCAAAAATAATTTTTTAAAAATACAACCAATCAACTTTAGGCCCATTGCCAACCCATCAAATGTAATGGGCCTAAAGTTGGCCCACTTCAGTTTCCTCATTCCCCACAAGTTTCTCGTCAAGAGTTTTCTTGTGATAATATAATTAATTGATAAGAAATGATAAGTAAACAATTGTAAAATATTTTACAACACACATGCAATAAATAATTTCAAAATATATTCTCTCTCTTTTACATTATTTTTTTTTTCATCTTGAATAATGTTCTTAAGAATAATTCATGTAAACACCTTTTCGATATATTTTTAACATTACTTCCAGAAACGTAATAATGAATGAATCTTTTATTTCATTTTTTCCCTTTTTAGAACTACATGGTTTATTACTTTTTTGCCCAAATAAAAATAAATTGGATATATATATATAGAGGTAACAATTTGTTGACAATTTTGTTGTCATTCTCAAGTAGTGTAAAGTGAGGTCATAATTAGTAAATAGGGCATCATAATGAGCATGTGGGGTTGCATGATAAAGCCTAACGCGCTTTCAAGAAAGTTGAGCCATATTTTTACATACTTTAAATGACTTTTTTGGCTTTCGTTTGGTACTACATGATTTATAACCCAAAAAGAAAAATAAAATAAAATACTTTCGCTCCAATCGATCCTCGAGATTTTTTCTCGAGTGGTCGTAGAAATGACCTAATCAAAATGTGAAATCTAATAAACAAAAAACCCGACTAAAAGAAATGTAAAGGTAGTCTATTTCAATCTGGTTAATATTAGTTGTCAATAATGTGATTGATATAGACTTGAATATAGACCATAATTTCAAATTACTTAAAATAACACAACTCAATATAGAAGAAATTCAAGACTTACACAGCTAGCACGCTCATATTTACCCAGCAATTTAAATTCATCTCTTATTTTATGAACCAAAGTATAGCTTAAAAGACAATTAAGAAGCTTAAAATGATTCAAATTTTGAATATACATAATCTATATTTGAACGTTTCAATATCGAGTATTTTTTTTTGTCAAAAAGAGCATAGTTCAACGATAATTGACATATACCTCCAATCATGAGGTCGTGAGTTCGAATCTCCTCCTACAACATGTTAGTACTAAAAAAAAATATCGAGATTTTTTTTTTTCTATTATCTTGTTTTCTTGTACTTTTACATTTCTACCCATTTCATTCTCCCTTCTAACGTGTAGTGTTAAATGTAAAGAAAAATTGACGTGACACTGGCCTGATGAACAACTTTTTTTTTAACGAGCATTAGCAACAGCTAACAAGTTCACCAAAAGAATCGCAATGATAAGAAGAATAAATTTCTCTTTTAAGTTCCAATCTCCAACAAGACTTAGAACAGAAACCTAACATGCAAAGAATTAACTTTTAGTGTCTTTAACCATCCAAATGTTGGGTTAATTGTGTCCCCTTTTGCACAAAGGCCAAGCTTTGAATGCTTTAATAATGAATGGGAATCTAGAAAGATTGCTGCACTAATTAAAGCCACAACATACCCACTATGAATGGTGGGGATCTCCAAAATGCCTCAGACAAAGCAGAATCTTTGTGAAGATTTATCCTCTTATTGCATCTAATGATCATACTTCATTTCTAAAAACAGAGCAAAAGGGCCCAAAATATTGGCCAAAAAGTGCTCAAAAATGAACTCCTAAGCCTCAACAGATTCAGCTGCAAGTTTGAGAATTGGATTTCATTAGTAATAACAGTTATGGTTACAGAACTGAAAAATGGTCCATAAACAAAGCCATAGCCATGGTTGTGTTCTTCTGTCATTCTTGTTCAGACAGAAGGGAAATGAATGGCATTTGGCAATGCAGCATCACAAAAATATTTGTTCAAGTACTTTGTACTTGGTGTTTGGAAAGAAAGTGAATGAGAATTCTCCTCTTTTTCTTCTTCTTTTCTCCACCCACTTTCCCT